CGGGGCCCGGTGGCCGGCTCAGTTGCTTTCCAGGCCCTTGTGCGCCAGGAAAGGCCACGTATCCTAAGGGCCCGGTTCTACCTGCGCAGGGCGGGAGGGGGGGGGTGGTCTGTGCCGGGGCTCACGCCTTAGGAGGGTCCTGCAGGCACGCCAGGCCCAGCACTGGCTGCGAATAGTGGATGCGTGGGGAGTGTCAAGGCCTCTCGAAGCCACCCTGGCAGAGACAGGGGAACGCAGTCAGGCCCCTCGTTTTTTTCTGCCGTGCATTTCCCTCCGTTTTTCCTGTATTTCCCTTCTCCCCTTAGATTTGGAGGGCTGTTCCTTGTCCCCAAAGTGCCTCCTACTCCTACCCATGAGCACTAGGCCTTGGTTCTAAGTGGGCCCAGGGGAAGGGTAGAACTGGAGATGAGATGCTGCAATGTAGTTCCTCGAAAACCTCGGCTCAGAGACAATCCTGATCCCCCCACACCCCACTCCGTATTCCAGGGACAACACTGCTTGGCCTCAGTGCTCCGAGCTCATCCCAGCCGCCCAGCCCAGCCCAGCCCAGCCCAGGGGCGGGTGTGTGCTGAGTCAACCTCTGAGGCAAGGGGCCTCATCTTACTCTCTCCATGCTCTCTCTGTTGACACAACAAATGCGAGCACTTTGGGGCCCATAAAGGCTCTGATCCTCAGCAGCTCCTCTGACCTGGTCAGCCTCCTATGAGTTAATTTTACGTGTACGCTTGACTTGGATGTGGAATGCCCAAATATTTGGTCAAATATTATTCTGGCTGTTTCGGTGAGGGTGTTTTTGCACAAGATTAACATTTAAATCTGTAGACTTTAACACAGTGCCCTGCAAAATGTGGGTGGGCCTCACTCAATCAGTTGAAGGCCCAAGTAGAACAAAAAGACTGACCCACCCAGGAGCGAGAGAATTCTCTGTCTTCAGACACCACCTGCAACACTGGCTCTCCCTGCCTGGTGGCCTTTGAGTTGGAATACCAACCACTTGGGTCTCCTGCCTGCCAGCCCGCCCTGCAGGTCAGACTTGCTAGCCTCTGTAGCTGCATGAGCTGTTTCCTTTTGAATCTTTCTTTACATATATCGTAATATCTATCTCCATGTGTCCTGATTCTGCTTCTCTGGAGAATCCTCATACAGCTCCCTAGGGACCTCCTGTCCCCCTGTCCCGCCCCTGCCTGGGTGAGTGGAGAGATGTGTGCCCCCACTAGGCCGGGAGGCATGTGGGATGTGGAGGCTGGTGCCCCTCCCACAGCAAGGCAGGCCAAGTCCAGTCTATGGTGCCAACTTCCAGTCGTATCTCCAATGACTGGTGTTTGAGAGGCTGTGTTCTTCCCCTCACTGGGAGACCCAACCGCCACCAGCTTGGCTGCCTGGGAAGAAAGGGCTCTGGGGCCTGTGGGTCCCTAATATCGCACCCGACAACAAGGACCCTGGAACAGCTGGGGGCCTCACTCCACACGTGCTGGCAAAGTTGGAAGTCAGGGCACTGGGCTGGAATGGTTTATTCAACCAAAAAGGTCAAGGAGAAAAGTAACAGTATCTGTGTGTTGGGTCACAAATGAGAGCTGGTGGCCTGAGTATGCTGGTGTCCTTGGAAGTCCAAGTGTCTGAGGAGCCCTTTTCTCAAATGTCAGATGAGGACAAGGGGTGGTCGGCAGCCAGCCAAGCACTGTGGCCCCTCCCATTGGGCTCAGGATGCCCAAGACCCTCTGGTCCTTCCCACACTGAGGAGGTGTCCCCCCATGAGAGGGGGCTGGGGAAGTCGCAGCTGTGGGACTCCTTGGCTCGGCCTTCATGGGGGGAGACCTTTGTGCTCAGGAAGGGGTCAAGCCCCAAGCTAGCTGATGCTCAGAGGGCCCCCCACCCCGAGCTCCCGGAAGGTGGTCCTGACTTGGTTTGGGGGCAGAGGAAGGGGGAGGTTGAGGTCAGAGGGGCCATCCCTCTCCGGGCCAGGAAGCACGCCGGAAATGTGGAGATTCACACTGGGGAGTGATACGCGCCCTCCCTGGCTGATTCCTGAGCTGACCAGAGCCGTGGGCGGTAGGCTACCTTGGGGACACCCTGTGTGGTCTGGGGCTGGAGATGCCCAGTGGAGGAGCTCCAAGTCTAGGATAGAGAAGGTGGAGGGCAGCCTGGTGGGCAGGTGGGGCACCTCAGTCCCTCTTGCCTGACGGGGCCATGCTGCGGGGGAGTAGCTTGGAGTGGCCGGAAGGAGCCAGCAAGGTCCCCGGTGGGGAGTCCAGCTTCACCTTGTCCAGAACAGTCTTCTTGATGGCAGCTGGTGACACCTGCTCCTGGTCAGCCATGGACTGAAGCTCCCTGCGGAGGCAGTGAGGAGAGTTGGGTCCAGGGCTCCACTTTCCTCCTGAGCCCACGTGTCCGTGCGGGAACAAGGCCCACAGCTCCCAGCATCAGCCAGCACAGGGCACGGCTGTGCCGTCATGGCCCCGTCCCCCCAGGGGCCTGGCACCTGCAGTTCCCTCTGCCAGCTACCCTCCCCAGACTGCTGTCTGGCTCTCTCTCACCGCGACCAAATCAGCTCAGGATCACCAAATCTACCGGCAGCCCCCCGACTCTGAGCCCTCATTGCCCCGAGCACGGGACGTGTGCCTTGTCTGTGTCCCCTGCAGGCCGAGAGCGGCACTGCATCCTAGCCTCGCGGTCAGGCAGTGGCGCTCGGAGAAGCCTGGGGGTTTTTGCACTGGAGGGCAGACAGAGGGGTGAGAAAGAGGCGCGTCCGTTCTCCAGACTGGAACTAGAGACAGTCACTCCAGGGCCAGCGCGCTGTGCCGTGTGCTGTATGTCCAGCTCGCTTCACCCAGCCAGGCCAGGGGAAGGTGTTACCCTCACGCCCAGAGGTTCCCTCTGGTTCCCACTGGCCCGCCTCCCCAGCTTGGATGATCACCCCAGTCTGGGGGCCACAGGTGATGCAACTACGTGGGGAACAGAGCGAGGGCCCAGAGGGCAGACCCCCGGCAGGACAATGGGCACTTCCAACTGTCCCCCAGGGAACCTTGGGGCTCCCCACGCCCTGCCCACTGCAAGGCCAAGCTCGATAACGATCAGCTGAGCGATCGACTGAGCAGATGTGAGTGAGGCTTGGGCTCCGGTGCACTGGGGTGGGGGGGGCCAGGGAGCAGGCAGCAGCGCGGGCCCACCATGTGCGGACGCAGGAGGCCTCCACGGCGTTGATGAGCAGGGAGCGGAATCCCCCGCTCTCCAGCACGTGCAAGGCATGGATGGTGGCCCCTCCGGGGGAGCAGACGTTGTCCTTCAGCTGTCCTGGGTGCTGTTCTGAGTCCAGTAGCATCTTGGCAGCTCCCTGCAGCCAGAGAGGGGCTGATGGCTGTGGGACACCCACCTGCCTGCCGGGCACTGCTCCCAGCCCCAGCCACCACGGCACCCATTGACACTTCACCCATCCATCCCAGTGCATCAGCCTCTCGCCCAGCAAGGAGTGGCTCCCACCAGACGGCCGTGAAAGATACTGACCAGCAGAGCCTGGGCCCCGAGGCGGACTGCCAGGCGCCTGGGGAGCCCCATCTTCACGCCCCCGTCAGCCAGGGCGTCCACGGCTGTGAACGCCTGCAAGGAGAAGGCGCCTAAGCCACTGTCCCAGGCCTTTTCTCCTCTGGGTGACGGCTGGTCCAGCAGCTCTGCCCGCAGCGGCAGGAGCAGGGGGAAGGGGGAAGGATGGGCAGATGTGCCCGAGGTCTTGCCCACCGCTGCCGGCTCCCGCCCGCCTGTCCCATCCTCACGTAGGCTGGGCCGCTGCCACTGAGCCCCGTGACGGCATCGATCAGATCTTCCTCCACCTCCGTGCAAAAGCCCACACTACTCATGAGCTGCTCCAGGAGCTTGCTGTCCTCCACCTGGGCGTGGGTGCCTGTGGCGTACACGGTGGCGCCCTCCCGCACCACAACCGGGGTGTTGGTCATGCAGCGGATGACTTTGGGGGCCGGCTGGAATGCTGTCAGCTTCTGGAGAAGAAACAGGCTGTGTCCACCTCGGCCCCCTGCCCAGCAGAGTGTGCTGGGTGTGAACATTTCCTGAGTTCTCGCTGTGGGCTGGGCCAACACGCCCGTTTCACAGATGGGAGGACAAGGCGCCAGAGCTCCTGACCTCTCTGCAGCGCACACATCCACCCCCTCTCCAAACCCTCCTGGGTCTGGACCCACAGCACCCACCTTCTCGATGGAGCTGATGGTGACGCCAGCTGCACAGGACACCACGATGTGCCGGTCCTGGATGTCGGCACCAATCTCGTCCAGGATGAAGGGGATGATGTGTGGCTTCACGGCCAAGAAGAGGACGTCGCTGTGCTGCACTGTCTCCTTGTTGTGGGAGGTCAGGTTCACCCCCATCTTCTGCGGGTTTGCGGAGGTGGGCTCAGCCTGTGCCCGTCGCTGGCTGGACCCCTATATCCCTCCCCTGAGCCAAGAGCCTCAGTGTGGAACAGGACAGAGGCAGCTGCGGGTGTGGGCGTGGTTGGGTTAGGGGCTCCAGGCAAGGGACTCTGCATCTCTGCCACAGCCTTGGCCCACCCCATCTTGGGCTGCAGCCCCCAGCCCCCTGCTCTCCGGGTGTGAGTGGTGGTCTCAAGCTGGGCGCCTGCCGCCGGCCTTGGGTCTCGGTTCTAGAGCCCTACTTCTGTCCACTATGGCAAACCGAAGCTCTATCAGCCCCAGGTGTGTCTCACCTGGCCCCACACTGTGGCTCCATCTGTCTGGCCCCCCGGAACCCCATTCCAGACCAGCACCCACTCCCCAGCAGCTGCACATGCCCGTTGCCCAGGTCCCATCCCAAGAGCTGAACAGGGTCCATGAGACACTTCAGCCCCGAGCCCCTCCTCTCACTAGGGTGCGGGGCAGTTTCACCGAGACCACTGCTGGGAACTGTACTCCTCGCCCACCAGGGTCAAGGCTGTCACAAACGCACCCCCAGACACACCCATGCATGGACAGCCACCCTGTCATCCTGCACCTACCCTGAGGGAAGAAACCGTGGCCAGGTCCATGTCTGGGGAGCTGGCCATTATCTTGTGGGCGGTGAGGACACCTGCGGGGGACAGAGTTCCTCCCTCAAGTCCAGTCCTAGCCTCCCCCGACCCCCTCGCTCCACATTCCCAGGAAGGAGAGCAGAGATCTGACCACCCAGGGGAAGACCCCACATATCCTGGGGCTGCCACTTCCTACAGGCACGCTATCCAGACGCCTACCTCCACCCCCCAGACGGCAGACGGGTAAGGCCCACCCACAGGCACTCGGCCCCCTCCTGGCCACGGGCCCTACCTGCCGCTGTGAAGCCCTTGGCCAGGGCAAAGGCCAGCTGGCCGGCCCCAATGAAGCCCACGCTCATGGTGTCGGAGGCGCGCCCACGACCCTCGCGGCCGGCACTGGAGCAGCAGGAGCAGCGGCGGGAGGAGACCGGGCTGGATCCAGCGCAAGAAGTTAGGCGGGCAGTGCCGGACGGGCCGCTTCGCCGCCAGCCGGCGCCCCCCGCTCCCCGTCACAGCCTAACTTTGCCCATAACTGCTAATAGCTCCAGGCCGGTAACTACGCCGACCTCCCGCCCACATTGGCGACCCCGACCTGCCCCCGAGGGTCCCAGACACAGGGGGAAGGGAGGAGCGCGCCCGCATCCCGAAGGGGTCGGGGAGCGGCGGGGGACGACCGACTGGCGCCCGGAGGCCCCTCCAGGGCCAAGCCCCCCTCTCCCGTCCTAGCACCCCCTGCCCGGAGCCGGAACGCAGA